AACAATGAAGTAAAAGAGCTGAACAAAAGATTTCAAAGGGCGGCTCAAGAAGACAAAGTATTGTAATGAAATGTGCAAAGACCTAGAGTTAGAAAACCAAAAGGGAAGAATATGCTTGGTATTTCTCAAACTGAAAGAACTGAAAAAAAGATTCAAGCCTTGAGTTGCAATACTGAAGGATTCTACGGGGAAAATATTAAATGACACAGAAAGCATCAAAAGAAGATGGAAGGAATACACAGAGTCACTGTACCAAAAAGAATTGGTTGATATTCAACCATTTCAGGAGGTAGCATATGATCAAGAACCAATGATGCTGCAGGAAGAAGTCCAAGCTGCTTTGAAGGCATTGGTGAAAAACAAGCTTCCAGGAATTGACAGAATACCAGTTGAGATGTTTCAACAAACGGATGCAGTGCTGGATGTGCTCACTCATCTATGCCAAGAAATTTGGAAGACAGCTACCTGGCCAATCGACTGGAAGAGATTCATATTTGTACCCATACCAAAGAAAGGTGATTCAACAGCATGTGCAAATTACCGAACAATATTATTAATGTCACACACACAAGTAAAATTTTGCTGAAGGTCATTCAAAATCAGTTGCAGAAGTACATTGACAGGGAACTGCCAGAAATTCAAGCCAGATTCAGAGGAGGATATGGAATGAGGGATATCACTGCTGATCTCAGATTGCATTATGGATTGAACTGTGTCCACTAAAAATGTATGTCAAGTTGGCTAGGCCATGATTCCCGGTTCTGTGTGATTGTCCACCATTTTGTCATCTGATGTGATTTTCCTATGTATCATAAATCCTACCTCTATGATGTTAATGAGGCAGGATTAGAGGCAGTTCTGTTAATGAGGCAAGGCTTAATCTACAGGATTAGGCTGTGTCTTAATCTCTTTTGAGGTATAACATAGAGAAGCAAGCAGAGAGACATGGGGACCTCATACCACGAAGAAACAAGAGCCTGGAGAATAGCATGTCCTTTGGACCCAGGGTCCCCGCGCTGAGAAGTTCAGCTGGGGAAGATTGATGACAAGGACCTTTCCCCAGAACCGACACAGAGAGAAAGCCTTCGCCCCTATCTGGCACCCTGAATTCGGACTTCTAGCCTCCTAGACTGTGACAGAATTAATCTCTTTTTGTTAAAACCATCCACTTGTGGTATTTCTGTTATAGCAGCACTAGATAACTAAGACAGATGGATCTTGGCTGAAAGCAGAGAATACCAGAGAGATGTTTACCTGTGTTTTATTGACTACGCAAAGGCATTTGACTGTTTGGGTCATAATAAATTATGGATAATATTATGACAAACGGGGATTCAGAACATTTAGTTGTGCTCATAGGGAACCTGTACACAGATCAAGAGGCAGTTGTTCAAACAAAACAAGAGGATATTGCATGGTTTAAAGCCAGGAAAGGTGTGCATCAGGGTTGTATCCTTTCACCATACTTATTCAATCTGTATGCTGAGCCAATAATAAGAGAAGCTGGACTATATGAAGAAGAATGCAGCATCAGGATTGGAGGAAGACTCATTAACAACCTGTGATATGCAGATGACACAACCTTGCTTGCTGAAAG